TGAAGTGTTCATGGACACCTCGGTTCTGGGATGGGCTGCGTGTCGCCAACCAGGAGCAAAAGCTGAATCAAGTGCAATGACCCAGGAATCTGACTCCTCTAGCAACCTACAACAGGTGAAGATATGCCTTGAAACCTCCTCCACAGAGTTGCTGGGGCAGAACCCCACTGCAAAAACATATGACTGAGCAGATGAAATGCCACTGCTGCAGTGGAGAGAACCAAAGACACTGCATCCTCAGGAAACAAGAGAAGTGAAAAAGAAGACGAGTACAAAAAGAGACAAGAACCAAGCTGAATGTAGAAGACATAAAAAGTCTCCCTGCAGGGAAGAATCTGCAGTAGGAAAACCCTTCTGAGAAACAAGATGCAGTGGATCCACAGTGAGAAGCAGTAGCTCAACTACCTCCGCCATCAAAGTGGAAGGGGTGATCCTCAGAAGGCCCAAATACCTGAAGAAACACCATCCTCAGATTCTGAAACCTTCAGATGCTTCGAAACTGGGAGTAAAGGGGGAGGTTCCAGGGCCCACCAGACAACACCAGCCGAACCTGAGGAAGAAGGATCAAATCTGAAGCAAAGAGAAAACAACAACTGCTCCAATTCCAAATCCTGAAAGGACAAAGCGACTGACCCTGGTGCACTCACATTGATGATAAGCTGCAACCTATGTATATGTGAACTATACAGGCAAACCTGGCCCAAAAAATAGCAACAGCAACATGATAATCCTTCAGCAACTATATCGGAAGAATCTTTAATTATTAATTTCATGCTGTAGGACTGCTGGCATATTGATGTAATTCATAACCATTTTTATTTTTTTCATGGCAATTCCTACATTTAAAAAATCTGCTAACAGTCTCACATTTTTATTATCATTACCAAGTTTCCCATTTTCATGTTGTGAAATGATAAGAGAAGCACTAAAGGCATGAAGGGTAAAGATATAAAGAAATTACACATGTTCATTCGCCATATCTTACACACTACATACTGTAGAAAACCAGCAACATTACACAATAGCAATCACCAACACATGCCATTTCGATTATAACGTGGTCATCATATCTTCAGCCACATCATTGTGACTCATCTTCTCCATATGCCATTTTCACCAATATAGCAGAGAAAATACTCAGAATCGTCTAAATTTTGTTTCAATTAATTTCTATGATTTCTGTTTTCTTGGCTTTGGCAGAGAATGTGTTGGTCACCACAATGGATGGCTGTACACCAAACATCACCGATCATGCTCGTTATGCAGAAGCAGGTCTTGTTAAGGAGGGATGCATCCAGCACAAGAGTGCATACAAACCTCCATCTTCAGAATACTGTTACTGTGGCTACAACCTCTGTAACAAATCCTCATCAAGTCATCATTCTCTAGGACTTTTACTTATTGCTACTTTTATCACAATTTTCCTTCAGTGCATACAATGGAAAAATGTATCCTGTCAATGATATTACTATAGGACTGAGCAGCTTGGTTTCATTTATATATGACACCTAATACTTGTATTGTATTACTGTGTTTTTAAGGACTAAATTCACAGAACAAATTTTAAATTTCAACCTACCATATGATGACCAAGTATCAGAACTTCTGTGTAATGAGATTTCATCACATTTAATTTAATTCTAAAACCCCAGTCATCAAACCTACTTGGAGTTACACACCAAGTATATTTATTCCAATTTTGAGTCAAATTTTAAATGTAAATATTCAATTGTTATATACTGTATGATGGTAAAGTATATATTTCTTGAATCACTTATTAAAATGTTAAGCATGAAACAATAATGCTTTTTTAGGAATATGTACACTTTTGTAGTCAGTACATGAATTCCAGTACAGCATTTAACTCCTGCACTGCGCACCTGTTTTTGGCAAAACCTTCATAGTGCAATTGTTAAAGACATATTTTTGTTGTTTTTATAAATATTCAAGTAAAGTTAACCCCTTAACTGCGTTGCCTCCAAATGTGACACCCCCGCAGTGCGCAGGAAATAAATTCTCTGGAAAAAATTCTTTTTTCTTTTTAAAGTGTCAAAAACCATTCCCTCAGTATGGGTATGTAAAAAAAAAAGTCGAAATTGTACTTACTTTGGCTGCTATGGGGTCCGGAAGTTGGGGCGTGACGTCATCATTCCCCGTGTGCCCGTGCTGTAAGCTCTCGGGGGCGGTGGGGCGTTGGGGGGCGGGGCGCGGGCGCGCGCGAGTTGCCGCGAATATATTTTCGTTCATTTTTTGCGCACCTTTCCAAATACATTTTCATTGTTTTTATGTGCCAATCCAATGTATAATGAACACGTACACTATAATATCGCAGTACAACATCCGTACTGTCCGTAGACACTGTGTAACGTGCATGAAACTTGTGTACACATATGCAGCACATATTTACTATGTATCATGCTAATTTGTGTATATATACAATCTATTTACACACTATACACTGTCACACACTATATACATTCACCATCAACATATTGAGAACACCGCGTAGCAGCTGCTTCGTATATAGCAGCTGGCAATAGCAGCTGCCCCGTATGGGCCAATAGCAGCTGCCCCGTATGGGCCAATAGCAGCTGCCCCGTATGGGCCAATAGCAGCTGCCCCGTATGGGCCAATAGCAGCTGCCCCGTATGGGCCAATAGCAGCTGCCCCGTATGGGCCAATAGCAGCTGCCCCGTATGGGCCAATAGCAGCAATAGCCTGCCCCGTATGGGCCAATAGCAGCTGCCTCGTATGGGCCAATAGCAGCTGCCTCGTGTGGGCCAATAGCAGCTGCCTCGTGTGGGCCAATAGCAGCTGCCTCGTATGGGCCAATAGGAGCATTTGGCCATGAACACATTCAGAACACCTCGAGTGAGAGCAGCCACACCCAGCCAGTCTCCCTCACTCCAACATCTTACTCGCCAACATTGCTCCTCCCACCATATTGTTATAGTTCTTATTACACATGTTCTATATACCTATCTACATGTTTTATTTACCAGAACTATGCAAGTAAGCCGGTATTGTGTCCAAACAGTACAGTTGCCACCATACACTGCATGAAAAATCACACAGCAGACGACGCTACGATTACGTCACCTCCCTCACCAAAATAGCTCCTCTCAACATTCTCCTGTTGCTGTTCTTATACTATATACACACACTATATATACCCATGTACATATGTGTTGCCCATAGCAAACCACTAAGCTAGTATGGTGAGCAAAACAAGAGTGGCAGCCACACACACAGAATGAGGCTACCTCAATTCTCGCCCTCCCTCCCTCATCAAAATTCCTCCTTCCACAATACTACGCACAACGCTAATTATAACCACAATCCTGGTCACTAATTCCTGTAAATGAATAATTGACTACACGTTTATTTTGAAAAGGAACCTAAGAAATCATTTGAAGATTCCTAGATGAACGAAATAATGCTGTGGTGCTGTGGCTAGCGCTGTGAACATCGTGAACAGCATTGAATCACTGATATTTGAACATTGTACCCAGTCATTATCACACTCAGGCTCTAATCTAATATATATTCTATCATAGCTAAATAATACAAGTTATATATATATTTTGACATTATTAGGCGATGCTGTGGTCACATGCTGAACAGCAGTGCTGTGCGCTCATGCTGCGAGCGCCAGCCTTGGTTGCTCACACACTACTGAGGCTCCCACACCCGGGAATGTGGACCACGATTTTTTTTAAAGATGGCGTCTGTTTACAAGAGCCCTGAGGAAGCTAATGTGAGCCCCATGTAGCCACGGGAGTTTTGAATGGAACGTGAAAAATACAAATACCCGGAGGCGTGTTGCGCAAACCAGACGTGAGCCTGCAGGCGCGTTGCGCAGTTTAAGGGTTAATGTCAAAATGATTCCAAACTCAACTATTTTCATTTCAAAACACAAAGTGATGAAAACATTAAAAATCATAAAAATTTTGCCTAATTAAAAAAAAAAAAAAAAGGACAACTCTTAAAACAGGATTTGTTGCTTGGTGCAGTGCAGTTAAATATATTGTTACTGTATAATATAATTCATTGTGTCAAGGGACAGACAGCCAGAATGTATTCATACACGTTAGGCTTATGTCAAGGTCCCCCGGGTGTCGAATTACTGGCCCCGCCCCAGGATGCAACCCCAAACCAAGCTGACTAACTCCTGAGTACCGACTTACTGCTAGGTGGACAGACACATTAGGTGATAGGAAATGTGTCCAATCATTTCTGTCTTGCCCGAGATGAGACAAGATGTCTATTCATGATCAGGTTGTACCAGGGAATTAGCCAATATTAATGTAGAACATTATACAATTCATCCATTGGCTTTTGTGATGGTGGTTTTATCATGATTATAAAACACCTTATTCTAACAAAAAGCATCTCCAAAGTTAAACCTTGCTACAATGTTAAGTTTTGGGTCATTCTACAGACCTCACCAATGACTTTTCTTTTCAGTTTTGATCTAGTGGGCAAAAATCAGTTGCAAAACTATAAATATATCATAGAACAGTATTATATTATTGCAGTTTGCATAGCTTTATGCAGAAAAACTAATTACATTTGCATTAGTCAGAATATCTATTATAAAGTATACATAATCACATTAGTGCACCTTGATACTGTACAGTAAAAGCCCATGAATATGGGCTTTCATATGGCATGGGAACACGACCTGACCACGGGTCAATTTGTCGTCATTAACACTCTAGAGGTGTGACTTTTTTAATGGCTACAGGCCGACAGACTGTCACCTCTCAAACTCTTGTCCAGCTAACTCACATTGTATATACTGTACCTATTAAATACAAAACACTGTTATGGTGTTACATTAAATTTTTGGAGTACATAGAAAATAATTTAAAAATCACTATTTTTTGCAGCTGTAATGCACCCGGAAACTAAAAAAGTAAAAATAAATAAAATATAGAAAATAATATGGAAAATAAAATAAAAATAAAATAAGTAGAAAAACAAAAACTTTCACTTACCTGTGAATCAAATTCAATCAGGAACAGAAAGACAACATCTTCTCGTTGGAATCTGATAGCAGCATGTAAGGGATGGTTGGTCTTGGACTTAAACATTGCATACAACAAGGGTGCAGATACATGAGAGAAGTCATCTGGAGTGAAATCATTCTGAAGAAGAGAAAGTAGATGGTTATTTTTACTTACAAGGAGCTAAGCAACATATTTAAATATATTTATGCATCACTTATTAATGATCAAATATGCAAAATTAATTGATTATTCCATATAAACTACAACTGATAACATCTATCCATGTCAAAAGTCAATATAAATGTAGTATTCTCCCATAATAGTGTTACATTCTGACTAATCACATTTTTGGATGAACCAGTTCTAGGGGACAGACATTTAATTTGAACCAGTTCTAGGGACAGCAAACAGCTTCTCCTGCTGTTTAGATAGTACTTACAGCAATGATGTGGACCATCACACACATTGACATAATGGACAGTTAAAAAGTCAAATTTAGTACAGTGGAACCTCAGTTGACGACTGCCCCAGAGTACGAATTTTTTAGTTAACAATGTCAAATTCGTCGTAAAATTTGAATTGGTGTATGACGGTATACTTAGAAGATGACGTATGTTCGTAAGTGTATGGGTCAAACGAGCGCGTGGTGAGGAGCACTCAGTTTGTTTAGTCTATCCTTCTTGAGGTTATCTTGAGATGATTTTGGGGCTTTTTTTAGTGTCCCCGCAGCCCGGTCCTTGACCAGGCCTCCACCCCCAGGAAGCAGCCCGTGACAGCTGACTAACACCCAGGTACCTATTTTACTGCTAGGTAACATGGGCATAAGGTGAAAGAAACTCTGCCCATTTTTTTCTCGCCGGCGCCTGGGATCGAACCCAGGACCACAGGATCACAAGTCCAGCGTGCTGTCCACTCGGCCGACCGGCTCCCCATTGGGGAGCCGGTCGGCCGAGTAACAATAACTATTTAATCAAAAGTACCAATATGTAGTGATGGACCACTGAAGTTTGCATTTTGTACTTTACAAGGAGAGGTTAGGTTTTGTTGTACTTAAAACGTTTCCCATTTCCCCAACTTCAATAATACAAAATGTCAGCTTTATGTTGGTCTATCACTACATATTGGTACTTTTGGAAAAAATAGTTACTATAAATACAGTACTGTACTATCATTTTAGGAGGATGGGCTGTAACAATCATACGAGTACACATTGTGCTTAACATGACCGATTAATCAACAAACCTGGCATGTGCTTTGTATCCAAACACAGGGAGCATGAGTGCTATATCTACAAAATATAAGGACAGCCAGAAACACAAAAATATGAACTCTGAATGCAGTGGACAGTATTGTTATATGAGCAATGTAATTAGCAAAAGAAGGTGCCAAGCTCAGGAAACTATATACAGTATAGTAGTATCACAGAATGTGTACTGTAATAAGAGCCATTAGCTAATGGTTGTAGGGAACTGCTAACCACAAAAGAATCAATTATTTCACCATTTCGAAACAGTACTTCTACAGCAAAGTCCCACGCACCTTGGCAACTGCCATCAATTTTTAAAGTCTTTCTTTGTGTCAGCAGTACCTTAAGTCTATTGCTCATTCTTGTATTACTAGTAAGGATGAATAGTGTGTGTGTGGGGGGGGGGGAGGTTCTAGATTGAAGCCAAGCACTGGCAGTCATTCAGCCCTAACAATCTAATGTAATTACATACATTTATCTACAATTTAAAAAAAATCCTGCGTTGTGATGACCGCAGCCGCGCTTGAATTCTTTGTGAAGAACTTCATTGCTTGCCTGCTTTTCTGGGGTGAGCCCCGGAGGCTCTCCAGAGCTATTTAGGCTGCTATGGATATTCCTAACTTTGGCATCAGTCAATGTGGGTGGCATTCTAGGCCTACCGGAACCTGGCCCCCTCGGAAAGGCACGAGGAGCAATGTCCTATAGAAATGTACATGTGATTTGGGAGCATTCTATATCTGCCATCGACCGGGACAGGCACCCAGAAAGTTAAACGCCCCAAAACAAACCCCTATTCTAGTTAAAAACAACAAAAAGAGAAACGAGTGGACAGAACTCCCCAAGTGAACACGAGCAAACAAGCATGACGTCACACGAGCATGTCTGCGGAGCTGCCCCCTCCCCGGGAGGGGGAAGGGGAAGCCCCAGATCCCCGCGCCGGCGATAAAAGGACCAAAACAGCTGGACCAGGGGATAAAAGGTACAGGAATCTCCCACCTTGATCAATCCTGCCGAAAAGCATCCTCTGCATCCTCTGAAAAGCCAGCCACTATAATATGGTGAAAACTAGCTACATTGTACCTTGTGTCCCTACTAGTGGAAAAACTACCTCCTACCCAGAGACAAACAGTAGTGCATAAAACACTCCAGCTGACTCCAAGGACAGGCAATCACCGAGCAGTAAAAGACACCACGGAGGCAGACCCCCAAGCGAGTTGTGGAAGTTAACGCCAAGTCACAAGGGCAGAACTTAAAGGGCACCTAGGGAAGGGATCCCTATGCGCATGCAGCCCGAGTACTTGTGAAATAACTCCTGGCTCGCACACCACCACAGGACAGGGCAATACCACAAGGAACAGCACTGGAAAATGTCTGGAGCCAGAGTCGCACGACCGCCAGGTCTCACATCAGCCACAGAACTGGGGGTGGATAGCCAGCGCAGGGGGTCTGGAGCTTTCCCGTCCCCCCTCCCAAGGAGGGGGGGAGCTACACAGACAGTGGTGCAGTGACGGTTGTGACGTCGTGCTCGTTTGCTCATTTTTAGTTTGGGGAGTTCTGTCCAACAGTTCGCCTTTCACTAGCAATTTTTAACCAGATAGGGTTTGTTTTGGGGTGCCAACCTTTCTGGGTGCCTGACCCAGTCGATGGCAGACATAGAATGCTTCCAACCACATGTGGGTTTCTATAGGTCATTGCTCCTTGTGCCTCTCTGAGGGGGCCAGGTTCTGGCTTGTGGTCCCTGGTAGGCCTAAGAACTCTATTCGCTTGACTGATGCCAGAGTCTAATACATTCATAACAAAATATGAATTTTGATAATAGCGATAACACCACCTATTTACTGGCAATCAGGGATAAAGAGATGCAAGCACCTGTCTGACGCACAAAGAAGAATAGTAGTAGTAAAGAGGGGGGTCTACAAAGTGGATATGCAGCTGGTGCCATCTGGTGCCAAAACTAGAAGACAGAAGAAAAAGAGGTGATATGATCACTACGTACAAAATAGTAACAGGAATTGATAAAATTGACAGGGAAGATTTCCCAAGACCTGAAACTTCAAGAACAAGAGGTTATAGATTTAAACTAGCTAAACACAGATGCCGAAGAAATATAAGAAAATTCCCTTTCGCCAACAGAGTGGCAGACAGTTGGAACAAGTTAGGTGAGGTGGTGGTGGAGGCCAAGACCGTCAGTAGTTTCAAAGCATTATATGACAAAGAGTGCTGGGATGACGGGATATATAAATTAATAGTCATATAAATTAATAAGCACTATATTGTGGATAATGGAAATGTCTGTTCACGGTTGGAGGCTAGACGTGAAAGAGTAGAAGAGTAGGGAGGAAAAGAGGGGCAAGGGGGAGGGGGGGGGGGAAGGGAGGGTAAGGAAATGGGGTTGAGGTGGATGGTGAGAAGGGGGAGATGGGAGCTAATTTTATACTATACCCCTCTAGTATAAAATAAAAATTTATACATAAGCTGTATTTAACTTAGTATATGAATCTTACCCAGTGTGTAGATATTAGGGTTGAACAATGGTCCTTCAGTGTTACAGCACCAATTTCATCTGCTGTGGTGTAAAGACGCACACAATTGTGAACTGTTACCCAGCCCATCAGTGCTTTCTCGCATCTATGAAAAGAGAAAGGAAATATTAAGAAAAACAGTGTCACTCCAATCAAACAAACATTTTTACAAACTTTAGCATGCAGTTGACATAAGTTATTAATCCTTGCACAACCTCAAAAATTGAGTGCATGGCTCCAATCGTTTCAATGTGTAGCAAGTATGTCAGTAATATACTTGCTCCAAACTCTCTCATTAGCTTATGTGCAGATGATGAGATGGATCTGTTAATTCTACGTAGTCCATTAATTACAAATTCATACCTCTTCCCTAATTACAATTAACATTACTTTTTAACCTACTAGAGGATGGCTAAGTGAGGTGTGGACCGATTATATAAGTAATCGATAGCAAATTATCATCAGTCTAATTTCAAGAGTGGTTCAGTACGGACGCTTGAGAGATACCGCACATCTTCAATATTCACCAACAAGAATGTAACGTCTGATTACGTGTACGTAATTGGTTGATTAGATACACAGAGTTTAGCGGTGTTTATATTTATTTAGTATAGTCTTGGTTACAGCATATGTACAAATGCAATATTTGCCCTCCCGTAATATATAAATGTTCCGCTAGTTTTATGGGATGTCATCCACTCTGAGGGCTTTAACACTTTCTTCCATCTTAACACTTTCGCCCGGGCATGACGCAGCATTGCGTCATCCGTTTACTGTCGGTAATGCCGGGGATGACGCAGCATTGCGTCATCCACTTCAAATAATCGCCAAAAATCAGGTTTTTATCCGATTTTTGGGGGACTGGTTTTAAAATGCGCGCCGATGTCTTCCCATTTTCCTTGTTGCGCCTCGTGGCCCGCAGGCGGCTCGGCACACGCCGTCGGCCCATTGTTTTCGCTCCACTGTTGTGACCAATGTCGCCTCCCCTCGCATCTCAAACGTGTAATTACCTAAGTGTAATTACCTAAGTGTAGTTACAGGATGAGAGCTACGCTCGTGGTGTCCCGTCTTCCCAGCACTCTTTGTCATATAACGCTTTGAAACTACTGACGGTCTTGGCCTCCACCACCTTCTCACTTAACTTGTTCCAACCGTCTACCACTCTATTTGCGAAGGTGAATTTTCTTATATTTCTTCGGCATCTGTGTTTAGCTAGTTTAAATCTATGACCTCTTGTTCTTGAAGTTCCAGGTCTCAGGAAGTCTTCCCTGTCGATTTTGTCAATTCCTGTTACTATTTTGTATGTAGTGATCATATCACCTCTTTTTCTTCTGTCTTCTAGTTTTGGCATATTTAATGCTTCTAACCTCTCCTCGTAGCTCTTGCCCTTCAGTTCTGGGAGCCACTTAGTAGCATGTCTTTGCACCTTTTCCAGTTTGTTGATGTGCTTCTTAAGATATGGGCACCACACAACAGCTGCATATTCTAGCTTTGGCCTAACAAAAGTCATGAACAATTTCTTTAGTATATCGCCATCCATGTATTTAAATGCAATTCTGAAGTTAGAAAGCATAGCATAGGCTCCTTGCACAATATTCTTTATGTGGTCCTCAGGTGATAGTTTTCTATCTAGAACCACTCCTAGATCTCTTTCTTTATCAGAATTCTTTAAAGATTTCTCACATAATATATAGGTTGTGTGGGGTCTATGTTCTCCTATTCCACATTCCATAACATGACATTTATTAACATTAAATTCCATTTGCCAAGTGGTGCTCCATATACTTATTTTGTCCAGGTCTTCTTGAAGGGCATGACAGTCATCTAAATTTCTTATCCTTCCTATTATCTTAGCATCATCAGCAAACATGTTCATATAATTCTGTATACCAACTGGTAGATCATTTATGTACACAATAAACATCACTGGTGCAAGAACTGAACCCTGTGGTACTCCACTTGTGACATTTCTCCATTCTGATACATTGCCTCTGATTACTGCCCTCATTTTTCTATCAGTCAGAAAATTTTTCATCCATGATAGAAGCTTACCTGTCACCCCTCCAATATTTTCCAGTTTCCAGAACAACCTCTTATGTGGAACTCTGTCGAAAGCCTTTTTTAGGTCCAGATAGATGCAGTCAACCCAACCATCTCTTTCCTGTAATATCTCTGTGGCTCGATCATAGAAACTGAGTAAATTCGATACACAGGATCTTCCAGATCGAAAACCATACTGTCTGTCTGATATTATATCATTTCTCTCTAGGTGTTCTACCCATTTAGTTTTGATTAGTTTTTCCAATACTTTCACTATTACACTTGTCAATGATACAGGTCTATAATTGAGGGGGTCTTCCCTGCTGCCACTTTTGTAGATTGGAACTATGTTAGCCTGTTTCCACCCGTCTGCTACGATTCCTGTACACAGGGATGCCTGAAAGATCAGGTGAAGTGGAATGCTGAGCTCAGATGCACATTCTCTCAGAACCCATGGTGAAACGCCATCTGGGCCAGCTGCTTTGTTCTTACCGAGCTCCTTGAGCATTTTTTCCACTTCGTCTCTAGACACCTCTATGTGTTCTATGTTGTTCTCTGGAATTCTTATTGTATCTGGTTCCCTAAAGATTTCATTTTGTACAAACACACTTTGGAACTTTTCGTTTAGTGTTTCACACATTTCCTTTTCATCTTCCGTGAATCTATTTCCCATTTTCAACCTCTGAATATTATCCTTTACCTGCAATTTGTTGTTTATGAATTTATAGAATAGACCTGGTTCTGTTTTACATTTGTCCGCAATCCCTTTTTCAAAATTTCTTTCTGCCTCTCTCCTCACTGCCGTGTAGTTGTTTCTCGCATCTTTGTATCGCTGGTATGTTTGGGGGTTCGGCCTCTTCCTGTATTGATTCCATTTTTGTGTCTTTCGGTCTCTAGCCCTCTCGCAATTTCTATTGAACCAATCCTGTTTCCTAGTTCTGCATCTCTGTTTTGGTATAAATTTTTTTGTGCCTTTATCATATATTTCACAAAACTTGCCATACATCTCATTCACTTCCTTGCCTAGCATCAAGTCTGTCCAATTATACTCACTAAAAAAATTTCTAAGGTCACCATAATGTCCTCTCCTGAAGTCTGGTTTTTCAACTGCTTCAACCTCCTTATTTTCTTCCAGCTTATAACGCATTGCATACTTTATTCCCAAAAAGACATGGTCACTTTTACCCAAGGGAGGAAGGTACTGAATGTCAAATATCTCTTCCTCCTTCCTGGTAAATATCAAATCTAGCATGGAGGGAACGTCCCCTTCCCTCATCCTCGTAGCTTGTTTAACATGTTGATACAAGAATGTTTCCAGGATGAGGTCTACAAATTTACAGGTCCAAAAATCTTCTGTTTTAGCTTCATATGCTTCCCAGTCTATGGATTTCAAGTTGAAGTCACCGACTATCAACAGTCGTGATCTATCGTTATCCGCTCTCGCTATAATCTCTCTCATTATTGTTATAAGACCTTCACGTTTACTATCTAGCTCCTCCTTTGACCATGTGCTGCTTGGCGGTGGACTATATGCATTTATCATCATTAGTTTATCATCCTCATAGCAGATCTCTAGTGCTATTATGTCAACTTCTTGTGGATTGGCAGTCATTATTTCCTTCACCTTTAGGTGTTCTTTTACCAGCACAGCAACGCCACCGCCTTTCCTAATTTTTCTGTCCCGTCTCCAAATTGAGTAGCCCCTTGGGAATATGACCTCATTTAAAATTACATCTTCAAGTTTTGTCTCCGTGAGTGCAACAATGTCTGGTGTCTGCAGCTGTATTACATCACTTAACTCCAGTATCTTCGATCTCACTCCATCTATGTTGGTGTATGCAATCTTCAGGAACTTGTTCCCCCTCTCCTTATTCTTCACTCCCCCTCTCTCTATTGATTTTGTTGGTTTGCCTTTATGTACCACTTTACTGGTTTGCCTACCCCTATCACTTTGTAGAAAAAAGAATTTATTTCTTCTTCATTCCTGCTCTCATTTAAATGTTTTGCCTCGGCGAGGTTCAGTTTCAGCTTCTCTCTATCTTCTTTTGAAAGATCTCGTCTTAACGACCACCCTTTCCCATCCTCATCCCTTTGCAATTTTCTAGCATTCCTTAGTACTTCTTCCATCTGTTTGGCACCGTTTAGGGTGATCCTCAAAGGTCGATCTTTCCCTTTTACGTACCTGCCTATTCTCCTGTAGTCGCACACATTCTCTCTGTTTGTAAGACCTTCCACGAGGCCAACAATTTTATCTACTACTTTAGCTTCTTCTACAGCTCTTTCTGACCTAGATGTTATCGCCTTTTCTTTGCAGCCAAAAATGATCAGGGACTTACTCCGATCAACTGTGTTTTGCACCAACTTCGGGTTAGATGCCAATTCTTTCCTCACTTCTAGCCTAATGTTTGTTTTATCTTGGTTGCTGCAGTGTTTGACTTCCTTTACTGCTTCTTCTATTTTTTCCTTCTCCTTGGCCACTTGTGCATAAGTGAGTTGCATATCTTTCTTGCACTGTTCTATTCCCTGTGTAACTTCCTCCATCTGTGCTGACAAAAGCTGTTTCTCCTGTTGAATTTCCTTGCCTAACCTATTGTAGTCATTTATGTTTAAATTTACTTTAACTTCTTCCAAAGCTATTTTTAAGAGTTTATTTTCTTCTTCCATGGCTTTGCAATTTGTTTCCAATTGATTCTTATCCTTGCGCAAGTCTTTCACTAAACCCTCAAGACATAAAACTTTGCTATTCAAATGGTCATTACTTTCTTTCAATTTACTAATTATTTCTACATGAGAGTTCACTATAGTATCTAAATTTACCAACTTGTTATGTAGACTACTAATATCAATGCTTTCTTCATTGAATCCCTCAAAATCAAGCTCTGTTTTGTTTTTCCCCTTGCCAGTGGCCATCTTGAATGTTCTTCTCTGCACTGTAAACACTAGGGCAACTTTTTCTCATCCGATTTTTCACTTCCCTTAGCACTTTCCTGTTATCTCACCTATTTTTCAAGAGCACTATACCTTTATGTTCTCTGGGACACCACTCACTACCATCAACCTGTACTACAATACTTAGGATTGTTGAAATATGCTGGAGCTCCTCTGCTGCAAGTGTTGACCCTAGGGGTGTCACCTTTTGAATTTTTTCATTGTGTGAACAATTGTGTGAAATTGTGTGAACATTTCGGCTATTTTCCGTGGCTATATTTCTTACTGCGGCTTTAGAAACTATCTACGCTTACTCCACGATGGATAGTGATCATGAACAAGGCCCTTCCAGGAAGAAATTTGCGAAAGAAAGGCTTGAAAAGGGCGGGAATTGGGAGTGTAGCTGGAAGGCATCTGAGCGCTCACTCGCGGCTAACGCGTGGCCCGTCTTCAACTCGTCGGCGGTTGGAGCGTGACCAGGTTTTTATTTTATATGCAAATGTTCCTCTAGAGAATTCTATTGCAAACCCATTGAGACCAAAATGAAAGACCTAGGACGAAAATTGAGGTGACCAGAGTGAAAATAGTGAAAACATTTTATCGCGTTTGCTTGCTCCTGGGTAACTCGTTCGCACTTTCTCTGTTTGCTGCGGGTAATTAGCTGGGCTTTTGGAGTTTATATGCATTTAGTGCTGTAGAGAATTCTATTGCGAACACAATGATACAAAATTTAATCTCATAGGATGAGAATTAAGGTGACAAAGTTGAAGAGAGTATACGCTTTTCAGAATTTACGCGTGCTCCCGTGACACCCTGGGGCCCAAATCGCACAGTTGAGGGGTGGCGCGCGGGGTACGCCAAAGTGTTAAATAACAAATTTAATGTGCCTCCTCTCTCTCTCTCTCTCTTAAATCCTCCATGTCACAGTTGACAGACGTAAACCTAGCATTGAATGTAATGAAACACCAATTTATGAAGAAGCTCCATGTGGATCTCTGAAGCTATCCTCCTGAGATTGTTTCATACTAAAAGGTCACATCAGTCGCAGATACACTCCCCAACCTAACTACCGGACCTCAATTCTTTCATTTATTCCATCTATTCGTTTGCTGTCCAGTCCCAAGAGGCCTATGAAGTTTCACAGCCTACAACCGTATTGCCATGGCGCGACCTCTGCACCTGCTTGATGACCCAGTATTGTTTTTGTGGCTGCCTACGGCGTGCAAAGACTTTTTCCCTCTTACCATTTTATATCTATGCATGTGTGTTGCATCCTGGTACTATGACATCAGGAAATGCAGGAAATCTGTTGTTCAGGGCTTCAACAGAGCCCTGTAGAGCCAAGAGAAAACACGTTGTGATGACTTTTGAAAAAAAAGTTCAACTTATAAAGGAAGTTGAAACTAGAATTCCTAAAAGTGTTGTGTGTACCAAGTACAAAGTTTGTAAAAACTATTCTAAGTGATATATTGAAGGTTAAAGATGGGATTTTTGCAAGTTATGCTAAAAGTGAGAGATGTAACAATGCGTAATAGAAAAATTGTTAGTAATGCACGTATTAAAAGTGTTTATGAGGCTGTGTGGGAATAGTACAGGCAGACACATGGCAAATCAAAGAAGCCAGTGCCAAGATGGCTTATGACCAGGATGGAAAAAGTCAAGCATTTTCACCAAGAAATGAAGCTTCATGACAACTGTCTATACAGTGATAGGTGGCTAAGGGACTTTAAGGTTCGTCATGGTATTAGGCGTGTGAAATTGTGAGGTGAAAAGCAATCTGCTGATGCAAAAGGTGCAGAGAATATGTATCAAAATTTGAGGGGATCATGCAGGACGATTCCTTATCTCGCGAGCAAATTTATAAGGCCGACAAAACAAGCTTGTATTGAGGCATGATAGGCGGTTATACATACGCTCATCAGGATGAAAGTGATTGCTCAGCTGGGTTCAAGTCAAATAAAGAATGGTTCTCTCTACTTGTTTGTGCAAATGCAGCTGGTGCACACAAATTAAAATTACTTGTTATAGGCAAAAGTGAAAAACCAAGGGCATTAACCACTGGACTGCACCGGCCAAGAAAACTCGGTTGGTGGGAAACTGCGCGAGCCAAGAAAACACACTTTTAATATTTTGTACCCATTCAAAATGTGCATGCAGTAAGTTGTGTTCAAAAATTAACTCTTGGGACCTCCAGCGAGAGGCAGCCATCTTGGAAAAAATTCCCAAAATGTCCTAGGGCTGTTGACTGGCTCCATTCCCAGTGAGCAACCATGGGTGGCACATGCGCCTCTGGCTCCCAAACACCTGTCCGATGCAGTGTTGAAAGATCGCTCTGTCTGTGAAATTCAGACCTTGTTTGAAGAACATAAAGGTCATGATATTGATGCAGCTAGACACAATAAGGACCTAACAAGGGTCAGACGCTAGTGATACAGCACTAATGAGGACAATACAGCACGCTTATCCAGTAGTAGCTTAGTGTTACCCATGTTCACCCCTGTTATCTCCAATTTTTATAGATGATACATAGATAAATCATTTTCTGGGTTCAGTGATGATGCATCTGATACAAGTAGCATAGATGAACAGTGTTAGCAGCTTCCATGGTGGTGTTTTCCATAGATCTTTTTAAGAATAGCCAAATCTCTTCCAGAATACCGTACAAAGCAATCATTTCAAGACTACCTTACAAATTGATCTTTTCCTATAATCTTTTCAAGACTACCTTACACTTAACAAGCTTGGCTACATACCACCTAGAGGTACTAAAACCAAGGGTGAACGTGAGTGTGTTATTTGCAGGCACACAGAACAAAGAAACAGGAATAAAAAATCTGTACCTGGTGCATCAAGAGCGAAGTCGCTCTGTATACCACGGACTGCTTCGTTGATTATCACTCGCTTCCAAAGTACTGTGTAATACAGTGTGTTACTGTCTAAATAGTGTGCAAAACTGTACATATTGTAATTTTGGTGAGTTTTGAACAAGTAATATTGCTATAATAAACATTTATTGTGGACATACTACTGACTCATGTATTACAGTTCCATGGAACATTATGAACGTTCTACTGTATGCATATTGTGAAGGACACAAATGTGCATCATATAAGATCAAAAGCAAAACTGCATTGGAAATACATAGAACAAATAATTGAAAATATTGTCACGTGAATCTTTCACATGAAAGTTCACCTCTACACCAGCCAAGATGAGTCATCAGTCCTGCCACCTCTCCACCACTCCGTACCCACCCAGGGCCTGGCACGGCCTGGTACGACTCAAGAGGCAAGCTGAGCGCCTCAGCTATCATCTCGTACACAGCCAGTTAGCCGACTTCAACTAGCAGTGGTACAGCTTCAACACAATGGCACTGCCAGTAGCAAACTAGTCATTTGCTACTAGTGCTTACCACCTTGCATTGACACTGGCTGTGAGTCATCACCACCAGACTATATACTGGGCACTGCCTCCCTAGGGAGCCAGTCTCTCTTAGTGCTCTTGGATCACCTTGGTCTCTCTCACCTGTCATCTACTATTAGCCTACGTCGTGTGACTGATGTCGTGGTGGTATTGTGGTTGTCTTCAGCACACCAGTATACTCTTGTATTGTATTAGATTCAAACTTTCATTTACTTATTTTATTTGTTCTATAATAACAGCCAAGTGTTCCCAGGTGACATTTACGTTCATTGATTTTTCAGTAAATTGTTTTAATTATTTTCAGCAAATTGTTTTAATCAATTTTTCTTTTGTTTCTACCTGTGACTTACACACTGCAAGGGCTAAAGCAGCATTTTTTTTTATTTATGTAACCGAGAGTCACCCCATCTGGACTTGGTATTTGTTGCAGTACACAACCCGTTACAATATATTTGTGACAACACGCGGTGCTTGAATGGCCCGCGCAACCGCCACTGGGAGCTTCACGCACGGGCGCACAGCAAACACACCCCCTTCTCCACGTTGCCACAGTCAGTGATTTTTTTTTTTTACATGTACGTGTTCAGGGAACGGAATTTATCATTTTACAAAGATCAAATTTTTTTTTATTTTTGGGGCACAGGGAATAATAAATGAAGTGCATCACAGAGGTTAAAAATCCAGCATGAAAAAATCATCAGGACAAATGGGGGGGAATGTGACAAGCTTCCTGTCCTTAATGAGGCCACTAGTGTGTTAGTGCCTCTCGGGTAAATACAGAATATTAATTTTAACATTATATTACTGTATGCCTAAGATAATTTCAATAAACATATGTAAGAAAGATTTAATACTTAGGTGTAGAACAAATGTCTTACCTTTTCATTAGGGGATTGAGAGAGAAACCAGCAGCAGCTCTCATGAGACTCAATGTAAAGTTGTGATCATTCAGGAGAGACACATGGTCTGTGTACACCCAGCGCAGCACTGCCTCCCCAACCTCTTCATCCAGTGCACTCCAATCTGTAGTTGAAAAAGCCAGCGTTGAATGTAATGAAACCCCATTTTCTGGGCGAGTCCCAGAGGCTCCCCGGAGCTTACCGGGCTATGTATGTATTAGATTGTGGCAGCAAGTCAATTCGATTGGAGTTCTTGCCTACCGGAGACGACGAGCCAGAACCTGGCCCCCTCATAGAGACATGAGGAACAATGGCCTATAAAAAACTCCATGTGGTTGGAAGCATTCTATGCCTGCCATCGATCGGGGAAAGCACCCAGAAAAGTAGGCATCCCAAAACAAACTCCACCTGGTTAAAATTGCTACCGAAAACTGAACCATCAAGTAGAGCTCCCCAATTCGAAAACAATCAAACAAGCATATCATCACAACTGCCGCCATGCCACTGTCTGCGCAGCTCCCCCCTCCCTAGGAGGGGAAAGGGGGAGCCCCAGACTCCCACGCCGACCATCCAACCCCAGTTTAGAGGCTGAATATAAAAAATTACGAATACCGCTGACAGGAGGGAGGAAGGAAGGGTTGGCTACAACTGCTGCAACCTATGACCCAAAGCGACAAACGCCCGATTAGAGCCAGGAACATTAACAAGGTAACGGGTGGCCAGGACCCTGTTCAACCTCCAAAAATCCCAATAAATTAGGGGCTTTATCTCATCTATGCGTGCCGTATATGTTCTCTGTACTCCCTCTATTTCAGCAATCTCTCCTGCTTTGAAGTGGGAAGTGAGTACTGAGCAGTACTCAAGATGGGACAACACAAGTGATTTGAAGAGTACAACCATTGTGATGGGATCTCTGGACTTGAATGTTCTCGTAATCCATCCTATCATTTTTCTGGCCCTGTGGCCCTCAACCATTCCTTGTATGAGAGTTGTTTATTAATACTTGAAGGGTATGTCCAATTTTGTGTGTGTATTATGCCAGACCGAACAATGTGTCGAGGCTCTGTTTATATATATGAGTATCATGCTGGTCTTATATTTAACTGGGCTTTCACTGTGGCCATTTACACACATTTTGATGTTGGTAGGTTTAGTATAAACTTCCTTGGTGAAGGTGTTGTCTATGGTTCTCACACAGACATCGAGGAAAGGGAGTGTGTACCATTGAAGCCTAGTTCATGGGGTGACACTACCTGCCACCCCTGACAACGTCTACCACTGTCACCACCTGCCACTTCTGAGAACAACTTCCACCACTGACATCACCTGCCTCCCCTGACAACAACTTCCACCACTGACACTAATTTACTCTCCTGACAACTTCCACCACTGACACTACCTGCCTCTCCTGACAACTTCTACCACTGACACCACATGCCTTTCCTGACAACAACTTCCACTACTGACACCACATGTCTTCAGTGACATTCATTCACCACTGACTCCACCTGCCTCCCATGACCCTAAACCCCAACAACTAACACCACTTGCCCCTTACACCAACCATCATCAATGACACCACCTGTCTCCCCTGACACCAACCCTTATCAATGACACCACCTGCCTCCCCTGACACCATTTTGTCATCCTTCAACCATTTCTCCCTGTACACAATGGGTATGTAAAATAAAACACTGTATAACTGTTGGCATTTTGTGAATAATAGTTGATGACAGCCACCTCCTGACGCTCTGGTTGCCTGCATCACTCGTTCCAGGGGGTGTTCTTTATGAGATCTTCATGCAATTTCCTTGCCTTTTCACAAATAATGGCCTCTGAAATGCTATCACCTGCTAACTCCTTGTTGTGTATCCAAATTAATAATAACTGTTTAACATCTTCAAGTGTTTGTGTTCGATGTTTCATGATTATTGTTATGCCTTTTGCCACTTTAGCACGCAATGTCCTTGTTACGACCCTATTGGGTCGCAACTGGGTTCTTTCTCTGATGTTAGTAGAGTTTGGGTATCCGGCCCCAAGCTAGTAGTGGCTTTCAAGAGGTGTGTTCCGTAACGCAAGTAAATAAAAGGGGAAGGGATACAAATTAACTAAACTTAATATATAATTACCATCACCATAAATAAATATATAAATTAGCACACGGGGGGTATAAACACTATTATATACAGAATGGTCTTCCTCTGAAGACGCAGGAATGTTCCACGCCAGCCCGTCCTCCAAAAATGGGGTGGTAAATGTAAGAAGACAAATAAGTGCAATTATGTACTATTCATAGCAGTCAGGAATTGTACTTATTTTCACTTAGTATTAGATCGTACTGTCAGATATATTGTGAATATTTGAGTTTACCTGAAAAACTGAATAGAAAACCACAACCTCACCTAACCGTCTTAGTTTTTGAAGATAATCATTTTATTGCTTCTTAATTACAATTAGTACTTAACCTATAGCTATATTGATATTATAGTTTTATAAAACTAATAAAACAAAACTAAAATATATCAATAAATTGTAAAGTAACTCAGGATATTTTAAAATTTTGTATAAAGTCTATATTGTTTAATTAACCTGAAAAAGAAATTCCTGATATTTAAAACTTGTGTATTGCAAATCGAAATTGAAAACGTCATCCTAAAATTCTGAGTGACTTAACAGAAAACGAGAAGAATTAAAGCGGGGGAGGGAGTTGGGTCAATGTAACAGCCCCATAAGTGCAATTATGCACTGCTTATTACAGTAAGAAAGTGTACTTATTACACTTAGTATTAAATCGTACTGTCAATTCGGAGGATGGGTTGTGTTCAAGGCCACATCTTCTTGTCAACATTGATTCAGAATTAGTCACCACACAAGAAATTGAGAGCAACTATGGCTGACTGCCCCTGAAAATCACACAACAAATCAATTGGAAAACACAATATGTCAACCTTACAGTTCACTCACCAAAGTCTCTGAGACTGAGTTTTGTAGAGAGGAGGGAGGTGGTATGGCTGACAGAGAAACCTGTCCTCTTACAAATTACATCTGAATTTAGCCGTGTGCACGTATGGCCGAAAATTGACGTAATTTGAAAATTAAAATTTGTTAAAAATAAATTTGGGATTCTTTTCTTTCCAAAACACTAAGTTAAAATTAGGGCTCCTCTGGTAGGTTAGGAGGGCAGGAAATTCTCCTAAAGTTTCAAAATGTCATGAAAAGCATTAATTAAAAGTGTCCTCTCCTAACCTAACAGACTAAGCTGTTGGACCCAAATAGAAAACGGGACCGTACATCCCTTTCGTGAGCCAATTCATTTCAAATTACGTCAGTTTTCGACCATAGCGCGCATACGAGCGAAAAGCAACATTATTTTGAGAGGACAGGTGGGACAGAGTCCTCACTCAGCCTGGGATGGCCAGTCTGGGCTGCTGGTACTCTTCTCTGCAGTAGCGATCTAGCTATCGCTCTTCTCCTAGTGTACAGTTCCGTGGGGAGTTAAGGGGAAACCAGGAACTAGACTCCATCTACAGGAGATGGCCTCTGGCTATCTTCCTACCATACCTAGACAGCAGCTTGTTTGATGGAAACAACCCAGCCACCCGTCTGCAATTATCAGCTTAGCAGAAAGCGAGGTCACATGATGTGATCTGACACAAAGGCAACCTGTTACAATTAACACCTGAAAGGCATGACTTTAGAATGCTTAGGGCCGACAACCTGGTACCACCGATATCCTGTGTGACTGACTCTTGTGAAATATTAATTAAATAAAACCATTTATGGTGTTACATCTTCATGCACAAATTCTTGATGAAAATTCAATGTAATGAAGTACTTACCAAGTGAATCAACATCAGCAAGGGATGGAATACCCCAGCTGTTGCTACGAGCAGCAAGTACAAAACGGTGAGCTCGGACATCTCTACTGCCAAGGTGCACAGACATATCACTGTATTTTTCCTGGTAGCCAAAATAAAAAAATCTACAGAATAATTAAACAAAAATTATATACATTTATTGACATTGTTTATATTTCTCTCATACCACAACAATGAGATTATTGATACTGTTACACCTCAAGAAAATTATCAACATTAGCATCCATATGAAGCACAGTACTGAACATACCTCATCATATAAGTCAGCTACAAATCGTAGAAGCCTAGTGACAAATGAATCTTCTCCCTCTGTGATTTGAGAGCCGGCAGTGGCAATAGCATGTTGCTGCTCAAGGGCTGTGTGACGTTCCTGCAGCCGTACATACTGTTCACGCAATAGTGATAAGTGCTGCTGAAGCTTCACCACTTCTGCAGTTAATGCACAAGGGAGTCATCAAAATTCAAAAGTTGTAATAATATTATAGTACACAAATCTATCCATAGCTTTGTTTTATTGAAAACTGATGACTTCATCCCTAACCCTTCAAATGGATGAGTTAATCAGGGATCATGCCATTTCTGATCTCACAGTGCAAGTCAATGATGACGATTTAAAGCACCTTGTAAGATTTAAAAGTTCCGTACATACGCGAGGCATGCATTTGCTCAAGTATACATACATTTGCTTTAAGTAAACAGACTCCATCTTGGAAAAAATCTTGGGAACCCCTCCTGGGTGAGGGCCTCAATATTGAGTGCGACCACGGGAAGTGTTGTGACCTAAATATTGTGTATTAAGCTAGAGAATTTCTTAAGTTCTTCCAGCGCATAAGTAAGCGTAAATGACTTGTAATGTATGTTTACGTTACAGGTTTGGGTTGAAGAGCTCGAATATGGGATGAGAGCATGGAAGCTCGATGCAGCCGGAATCTGGCTGTCTGCTCTGTAGCAGTCCAATCCAGCAAAAATCTGCTATCAGAACTATAACAAACTGTCTTCAGACAACACACAGCCCCTATGTTTAAATCTCTAAATGTGCTAAACATACACTCACTCCACACATTCTCTTGTGCTATTTACATGTACAAAACCTTGTTCGTAAATGGTAATTTATTCGCCAAAGCTGTAAATGTTAAACAGGGCTGAATTTTACAATCAAGTTTAAAAAAATAATCAGGACAAATGTGGGGACATTTGACAAGCCACCAGCTTCATGTCCTCATCGAAGCCACTAGAGACAGTAGCCCTCAGGAAAATTCAGGTAAATATATCGTTTAGCTTTGTTAGCTTGAGGTATGCAAGGCTTAAAATCCACTGGCCAACCATCATTGGTACACGATAGATACCATTCACAAAATGGTTTGCTAACAGTTTTATAATCTATCCAACTTAACCTGACCAAACCAAGCCTAACCTAAGCTAATACTGCCTAACCTAATCTTGGAAGGTCACGGTAGTACAGTCGGGCTCGTTCTCAACTCGTAAGAATTCCGGGTTTGAATCAAAGGTGGCACAGAAATGATTGGGAGCGTTTCCTTACATCTCATGCCTCTGTCCACTTATCAGTAAATAGGTACCCAGGAGTTAGTCAGTTTGTTGTAGGGTTGCATCCTGGGAGGAGTCGGTAATTCAACCCTGGGGGACTCGGTATAAGCCTAACATATACTGTATGTATAACCTTGCTTCCTGACCCTTGACACAATGAATTATTATTAATTATAACCTAACGATATGTATGATTTCGACAATCGGAAAAATGAGGGTTTTGTCGAACCACTTTCTGTACGATTTTACCATACACAAGTGACATTCATTTACAGCACAGAATTTGCCAAACCTGTATTTTTTAGCATGCTAGGATAACATTATACCACAAGCAGTTTAAAATTATATAATTTTCAACTGTGTAGACGCATTACCGAGTTAACTTATTACCGTTGACTGCAGCCATGGAATTGGAGCAGGTGTTGTTGTTTGGTTCAATTAAAGGGGAGAGACAGTGCAAAGCCGTATATGCCCAGATAACGCAGCTCAGAGTAACTGTTTCAGTAGTTGTAGTTGAGTGAGGGTCGAGGGTGCAGGAGGTGGTCACGGGACGCCCATCACTGTTATGATCATGGACGGACTCACTGTTGCCACATCTCAATTGCTGAAATTCACGAACACATGATATAAATAATCATGTACAAGTTCATGTATTCAAATTCAAAAAAATTCAGATTCAAATGTTTATTCAGGTAAAATACAAACAAGGGGTGATAGATATATTGATGAATTTATAGATAGAGCTAGTACATACAATGCCTAAAGCCACTATTACGCAAAGCGTTTCGGGCAGGAAAAACACTAAAGACTAAAACTTAATACTAATTGAGATTAAAGTATAAAATGTGTTGAGAAAATATAAAAATAAAAAAGGGGCGAACATGGCAGAAAAATAGGAAAAATACAATTTGGTTATGTATATATGTATACGTATATATATATATATATATATATATATATATATATATATATATATATATATATATATATATATATATATATATATATATATATATATATATATATATATATATATATTTTGGTAGCAGTCTTTCCTGTAGACATATATTATTAAATATGACCGAAAAAGTAAGATTAATAATTTTAACACGAATTTTCTCAATCTTTCGTACAATATGCTTCACTGTTGGAGGTAAATCAAAAATCACTTCTCCAAAATTCATTTTATTTCTAGTCTGACGCGACACGGGCGCGTTTCGTAAAACTTATTACATTTTCAAAGACTTCACAAATACACAACTGATTAGAACTTGCGTTTCCCTGATTTTATATCTACATTTGGTATTAAAAGTATCAACACAAGACAGAACAGAAACAATGGGTATTGAATAGAAGTGTTTGTAGAAAGCCTATTGGTCCATATTTCTTGATGCTTCTATATTGGAGCGGAGTCTTGAGGTGGGTAGAATATAGTTGTGCAATAATTGGCTGTTGATTGCTGGTGTTGACTTCTTGATGTGTAGTGCCTCGCAAACGTCAAGCCGCCTGCTATCGCTGTATCTATCGATGATTTCTGTGTTGTTTACTAGGATTTCTCTGGCGATGGTTTGGTTATGGGAAGAGATTATATGTTCCTTAATGGAGCCCTGTTGTTTATGCATCGTTAAACGCCTAGAAAGAGATGTTGTTGTCTTGCCTATATACTGGGTTTTTTGGAGCTTACAGTCCCCAAGTGGGCATTTGAAGGCATAGACGACGTTAGTCTCTTTTAAGGCGTTCTGTTTCGTGTCTGGAGAGTTTCTCATGAGTAGGCTGGCCGTTTTTCTGGTTTTTTATAGTAAATCGTCAGTTGTATCCTCTGATTTTTGTCTGTAGGGATAACGTTTCTATTAACAATATCTTTCAGGACCCTTTCCTCTGTTTTATGAGCTGTGGAAAAGAAGTTCCTGTAAAATAGTCTAATAGGGGGTATAGGTGTTGTGTTAGTTGTCTCTTCGGAGGTTGCATGGCTTTTCACTTTCCTTCTTATGATGTCTTCGATGAAACCATTGGAGAAGCCGTTATTGACTAGAACCTGCCTTACCCTACAGAGTTCTTCGTCGACTTGCTTCCATTCTGAGCTGTGGCTGAGAGCACGGTCGACGTATGCGTTAACAACACTCCTCTTGTACCTGTCAGGGCAGTCGCTGTTGGCATTTAGGCACATTCCTACGTTTGTTTCCTTTGTGTAGACTGCAGTGTGGAAACCTCCGCCCTTTTCCATGACTGTTACATCTAGAAAAGGCAGCTTCCCATCCTTTTCCGTCTCGTAAGTGAAACGCAGCACGGAACTCTGCTCAAATGCCTCCTTCAGCTCCTGCAGATGTCTGACATCAGGTACCTGTGTAAAAATGTCGTCAACATACCTGCAGTATATGGCCGGTTTCAAGTTCATGTCGACTAAGACTTTTTGCTCGATGGTACCCATGTAGAAGTTTGCAAACAGGACACCTAGGGGAGAACCCATGGCGACCCCATCCACTTGCTTATACATGTGCCCATCCGGGCTCAAGAAGGGTGCCTCTTTAGTACAAGCTTGGAGTAGTTTCCTCAGAATACTTTCTGGCATGTCAAGAGGAGTACAGGCTGGATCACGATACACTCTGTCGGCTATCATTCCGATTGTCTCGTCCACAGGTACGTTGGTAAACAGCGATTCTACGTCCAACGAGGCTCTTATCCCTGTGGCCTGTGCGCCCCGCAGTAAGTCCACAAATTCCTTTGGAGACTTCAGGCTGAAGGCGCAAGGAACATAAGGAGTCAGCAGGCCGTTGAGTCGCTTCGCCAATCTGTACGTGGGTGTGGGTATCTGGCTAATGATTGGCCGAAGTGGGTTTCCAGGCTTGTGCGTCTTGACATTTCCATACGCCCCATTATTATGATCTAATTATTCCCCATTAGATCATTGGGGAATATAAACCTGGATATGCGTATGGAAATGTCAAGACGCACAAGCCTGGAAACCCACTTCGGCCAATCATTAGCCAGATACCCACACCCACGTACAGATTGGCGAAGCGACTCAACGGCCTGCTGACTCCTTATGTTCCTTGCGCCTTCAGCCTGAAGTCTCCAAAGGAATTTGTGGACTTACTGCGGGGCGCACGGGCCACAGGGATAAGAGCCTCGTTGGACGTAGAATCGCTGTTTACCAACGTACCTGTGGACGAGACAATCGGAATGATAGCCGACAGAGTGTATCGTGATCCAGCCTGTACTCCTCTTGACATGCCAGAAAGTATTCTGAGGAAACTACTCCAAGCTTGTACTAAAGAGGCACCCTTCTTGAGCCCGGATGGGCACATGTATAAGCAAGTGGATGGGGTCGCCATGGGTTCTCCCCTAGGTGTCCTGTTTGCAAACTTCTACATGGGTACCATCGAGCAAAAAGTCTTAGTCGACATGAACTTGAAACCGGCCATATACTGCAGGTATGTTGACGACATTTTTACACAGGTACCTGATGTCAGACATCTGCAGGAGCTGAAGGAGGCATTTGAGCAGAGTTCCGTGCTGCGTTTCACTTACGAGACGGAAAAGGATGGGAAGCTGCCTTTTCTAGATGTAACAGTCATGGAAAAGGGCGGAGGTTTCCACACTGCAGTCTACACAAAGGAAACAAACGTAGGAATGTGCCTAAATGCCAACAGCGACTGCCCTGACAGGTACAAGAGGAGTGTTGTTAACGCATACGTCGACCGTGCTCTCAGCCACAGCTCAGAATGGAAGCAAGTCGACGAAGAACTCTGTAGGGTAAGGCAGGTTCTAGTCAATAACGGCTTCTCCAATGGTTTCATCGAAGACATCATAAGAAGGAAAGTGAAAAGCCATGCAACCTCCGAAGAGACAACTAACACAACACCTATACCCCCTATTAGACTATTTTACAGGAACTTCTTTTCCACAGCTCATAAAACAGAGGAAAGGGTCCTGAAAGATATTGTTAATAGAAACGTTATCCCTACAGACAAAAATCAGAGGATACAACTGACGATTTACTATAAAAAACCAGAAAAACGGCCAGCCTACTCATGAGAAACTCTCCAGACACGAAACAGAACGCCTTAAAAGAGACTAACGTCGTCTATGCCTTCAAATGCCCACTTGGGGACTGTAAGCTCCAAAAAACCCAGTATATAGGCAAGACAACAACATCTCTTTCTAGGCGTTTAACGATGCATAAACAACAGGGCTCCATTAAGGAACATATAATCTCTTCCCATAACCAAACCATCGCCAGAGAAATCCTAGTAAACAACACAGAAATCATCGATAGATACAGCGATAGCAGGCGGCTTGACGTTTGCGAGGCACTACACATCAAGAAGTCAACACCAGCAATCAACAGCCAATTATTGCACAACTATATTCTACCCACCTCAAGACTCCGCTCCAATATAGAAGCATCAAGAAATATGGACCAATAGGCTTTCTACAAACACTTCTATTCAATACCCATTGTTTCTGTTCTGTCTTGTGTTGATACTTTTAATACCCTATTAATATCCTCTAGTGTTCTGTCTTGTGTTAATGCCACATCATCCTTCCCACCTCACTCAAATGTAATGCCACATCACCCTTCCCACCTCACTCAAATGTAGATATAAAATCAGGGAAACGCAAGTTCTAATCAGTTGTGTATTTGTGAAGTCTTTGAAAATGTAATAAGTTTTACGAAACGCGCCCGTGTCGCGTCAGACTAGAAATAAAAATGAATTTTGGAGAAGTGATTTTTGATTTACCTCCAACAGTGAAGCATATTGTACGAAAGATTGAGAAAATTCGTGTTAAAATTATTAATCTTACTTTTTCGGTCATATTTAATAAATATATATATATATATATATATATATATATATATATATATATATATATATATATATATATATATATATATATATATATATATATATATATATATATATATATATATATATATATATATATATATATATATATATATATATATATATATATATATATATATATATATATATATATATACATATATATATATATTCACAAATATTTCCAACACAGAAATCATCGATAGATACAGCGATAGCAGGCGGCTTGACGTTTGCGAGGCACTACATATCAAGAAGTCAACACCAGCAATCAACAGCCAATTATTGCACAACTATATTCTACCCACCTCAAGACTCCGCTCCAATATAGAAGCATCAAGAAATATGGAACAATAGGCTTTCTACAAACACTTCTATTCAATACCCATTGTTTGTGTTCTGTCTTGTGTTGATACTTTTAATACCCTATTAATATCCCCTCTTGTTCTGTCTTGTGTTAATGCCACATCACCCCTCCCACCTCACTCAAATGTAGATATAAAATCGGAGATAGGTAAGTTCTATTCAGTTGTGTATTTGTGAACTAAAGTCTTTGAAAATGTAATAAGTTTTACGAAACGCGCCCGTGTCGCGTCAGACTAGAAATAAAAATGAATTTTGGAGAATTGATTTATGATTTACCTCCAACAGTGAAGCGTAATGTACGAAAGATTGAGAAAATTCGTGTTAGAATTATTAATCTTACTTTTTCGGTCATATATATATATATATATATATATATATATATATATATATATATATATATATATATATATATAT